TTCTCTCTGTTCATTCTCTCTGTTCATTCTCTCTGTTCATTCTCTCTTTTGCTCTTGAAGAATACGGTCACTTTCACCCGCTCCTCCCTCCTTCCTGCTTTTTTGCTCTCTTGTCCTGTGAACCTACTCAGAACCTTTCTTGACACATCTTCCAAATTGAAATTTATTATGGATCTGGTCAGCTGGTCTCTCAACGCAATCGAGAAAACTTTTCGGGGTTTGGAGTCGTTGGAAATCTGGATTGTCGACAAATTAGGGAACGCCAGCAGCTGTTTAAGCTGTCTGGAATGTGTGTGCCGAGCTTGGCAACACTCAGACTGTGTGTGAACTAACTGTGGACCTGTATCAGAGCTGAGCAAGCAGGACTGTGGAGCTTTGTGATGATGTGTTCATGGACGGTTGGAAGGAATAGATCTTGGAGAAGTTGTCAGCCCGACATCGGCAGAATGTCCACAGATCTGTCTGTTTGGAGTTACCATTGATTGTTCCAGCTGAACTGAAGGAGACACGTCAGTAGAGTCTGCCTGCCCTAAACAATTGTTGTTGATCTGAATTTGGCCTCCCCACTGGCCTTGGACAGGCCAACTTATCTCAAATTGCTCCTGGAGGATACGTAAACTAAGAAGCTCTGCCTCCCCCCACCCCCGAGGACATCTGTGGCCTTATCAAAACTGTGCCGCTGATAGACACTGTAGTATGTTATCAGAACTTGGGAACTTTCTGGAGCGTCCATGAACAACTCACCACCTTTGTTGACCTCCTTTGTATAAATGTGTTATGATGTCACTGTATGTTGCTGTTTATGTTGCCAGGTCTGTTTTGCATCTTTTACTCTGTGCCCCGGACAGGACGTGATGTGAGACAGGATTTTTTTAAACTTCCCCACCCTCGTGTTCTTTTCCTCATCTACTATGTATGTTGTATGTCAGTGTTTTTCAAAGTGGGGGCAGCCAGGGTGCGCTAGGGGGGCCTCAGAAAGCTGGAGAGAATATAAAAAAAACAAAAATTAATAATAATAATAATAATAATTGCCCACTAGGGCAATCTGTATCTGTCATTTCCAGATAAACTCACTTAAGAGAGGTTAGATTTATTTTGTTTTGCTCTTCTGGTCAACATTTAGTTGAAAATTAGGTTTTTTTTCAGTGGGAGTATGATACAGTGTTTAAAACACGTTGGTTAATAACATTTTTATGCTCAGCAGCTGTAATAATGAATTGAATATAGTGAATAAAAGTTAAAACTTTCTAAAAGTGATGTTTATTTACATATTTTGTAGCGTTGTTTGTGTATTTGCGAGGGGGGCCTCAGCCAGAAGCTAATGCTGTTTGGGGGGGCCATGGCATGGAAAAGTTTGGGAACCCCTGTTGTATGTAACAGGTCTCTCTTGTTAATGTGTGTAAGTGAGCGTCTCGGTGTCTGTGGATTGTCCTGTATGGTTTCTGCCTCCCTCGGTGTCTCCCCGATGATGATGTAAGTTTTGATGCCGTGTCAGCCCCTTGTTTTATTGAATAAAAGTAATTTAATTATCTTTCCTCCGAGTTCTCCACCTCTGCCTACACTTGGGTTCTACTAAACGACAGAAACCTGATAGTATTTGCACGAATGCCAACAGAGAAAAGTTAACTGTTTTGTATATTTTGAGAAATGTGATTAAAAAAAGCTACTTGAGCAAACAGACAGTAGTTATTTGCATTAGACCTTTAATCCAACAATGAACTGTTTAGTCTGGAACAACAAAAAAGGTTAAATCTGGACCAGTTTCTCTAAGTGAGAAACGTTTTGTCTTCCATCCAGAGGACTTCCTCAGTCTATGGCCTGCCAACCAGACCTGTCCCATAGGTAGCCTTCACTGCTGAGTTTCAAGATAACGTCCTGTTGGAATCTCATAAGTAGGTTTTTAAACAGGTGCAGAACACACCCATCCAAAACAACCAATCATCACGTACAACAATCAACTGTTTTAGGCCAGATCAACTGGTTTTCTTTTTCAGAAACAGATCCTGTTTAACTCTGAACGCTAGGAAACACCTTGTTTCTGGGACCTTTCTTCCCTCCATTGATTACGGTGACATTATTTACATGAACGCTACACCCTGCAGATGTTGTATGCTGCAGATGTTGTATGCTGCAGATGTTGTATGCTGCAGATGTTGTATGCTGCAGATGTTGTATGCTGCAGATGTTGGATGCTGTCTATCATGAAGCACTAAGATTCATAACTGGCTGTGATTATCGTGCCCACCACTGCACCCAGTATTCACTGGTTAACTGGACATCATTAACTTCACGCAGACTCTCTCACTGGTACATTTTCATCTTTAAATCACTTCTTGGTCTGCTGCCTTCATACATCTCCTCCTACATGTCTCTGTGTGAGTGCAGCTACAGCGTGCGCTCTCAGGACATCATTACCTGCAGTGTTCCCTCAGTGAGGACTGAACTAGACAAAAGGGCCTTCTCCTACTCCGCTCCTGTTTCCTGGAATATCTTACAAAAAGAACTAAAGCTCTCGACCTTTGACCTCTCTAAAGTGGCTTCAAACATCTGTTAAGTTCCTGGAAAAACCAATGCAGACATGTTCCTGTTTTTAGTTTTCTGTTATCTCTTTACAACCTAGCTGTTTTTTTTTTTTGTTACATTTTCTTTTAAATACCATTTTATTTTCACTTGTTAAAAAAAAAACAAAATATGTATGCATCCTTTATGATTGTCTGTTGTTGTCTTTGTTAAAAAAATCAGGTCTCTCTTGTAAATGAGCCCCCGAGGCTCAATGGGACTAACCTGTCTAAATAAAGGTTGAATGAAAAATAGAGATGCTCACCACTGAGAGGACTGTGTCCCCTTGTGTGGTCTGTCCTCCTGTGTCTCCCTCGTGATTAGTCCTGTTGTGTTTATCCCCTCGTTAGCGTCTTTATATTCTGTGTTCTGTTATTGTTCCCCTGTCCGAGGACCGTCCTTCATGGTGTGTTCTGTTCCTGCTCCTCCCGTGATCATCTCCCGTTATGCGAGTTTTTGTTGTGTTTAATAAATAACTTTTATTTTAATACCGAATCCTCCGAGTCCTGCCTGCACGTGGGTTCCAACCAACGACGGATGCTGAAAACTGAAGCTCTGTTTCTGACAGAAAAGTAGTTTCCCAAATTGATTTGAGCACGTTTAACATTTAAGTGACAAACCTGCAAGTCTGTGCAACACTGGCAAAAACTTTGCAACCGCTACAATAGTTTCAAGACGCTTTGGAAACTCTCTGGTGACTGTCGTTTATCAACTAGTTCATATAAGTTGCAGCCCAGTGAGGTCACCTGACTGGTGGCGAGCTTGAACTGGGTTGACTATAGATGATTACTTTCTGAAAATGTTGGCTGTTCATGAGAAGTTTTTGTTGACAGACAACAATTAATGCCTAAATTATACGCAAAAATCTTGAAGCTTGTGTTGCAGCTCACATATTTGTCAGATAGCCTGTTATAGCAAGGTCTGTGCATCGTTCGTTTCCGTGAGTTTTATTAAAACGACGCGAAGCAATTGATAAAGAAAATGAAGCATTATCTGAAACTTTGACTAAAAACCAGTATGTTACGATGGAGACTTGACCTGATGGAGTTTATGGGTGGAAATATTTGGACCACCCATGTAGAGTTAGTTGTTGCCAGAAGTCTAAAGGTTCTCGCTGGCGTCAGGTGCTCAGTCAGCAGATCCTTTCACTCCTGCCTGGTAGAAAATGTTTCTCTGTGGATCACATTTGTTCCTGTTTCACCATCATGTGACCAGAAACCAGTGTGTTCCCACCCTGTCAACTGGTATTACCGTTTACTAACGTGTTGGAGTCCCTCTGATCTTTTTCTGTTCGTTCCTCGTGATTTAACACGTCATCAAAAATGACTCTTCACGTCTCTAAATGAACAAGATCACCACACAGGAGACAAACGTTTACACTCTTCAGTGTGCACGTTGTGTCCACACTAACAAATATGACGGGGACACGGCAGATTGTTTCACCTGTTTTGTGTGAGATTGTTCATCAATTTAAAACGTCTGTTGGTTATTAAAATTACTTTTCAGTCGCATCGAGCTGTGAACTATAATTTATACAACCCCAATATGAAAAGAGGGGGCTTTGTGTAAAATGTAAATAAAAGATAAATGCAGTCATTTGCTAATTTCATAAACCAAAATGTTCTTCTGAACAGAACAAAGTAAACGTAAACAATGTTGAAACTAAAAAAGTGTAGCTTTTTTTAAGAATAAGGGTATTTTTAGTTTTATGACAGCAACACATTTTAACAAAATGTTGACACGTTTACTTTTGTAAAAACAATCTGCAAATGTCCAGGAACTGAAGAGACCAGTTCATGAAGTTTTGAAGGGGACCGTTGTCCAGTTAGGGAGACTGCCCATGCCAGAGGCGCTAATGCACCCCCATACCATCAGAGAGGCAGGCTTTTGAACTGTGCACTGATACCAAACAAGTGTTGGATGGTGGATGCGGTTTCAGAACAGAGTTTCAAATTTCACTTTGTCTGATGACAGAAAAGCTTTTAGTCCAGATGTGGTTTCTTTGCATGATGGATCTTTAACAAGCATTCATGGATGGAGAACTGCGTCCACAGGCAGTGGTTTGTAGAAGTTTTCCTGAGCCCAGTCTTGTCCTTTGACCTCAGAGATTTCTCCCAATTCTTGAACATGTTTAAAGTCTTCCATATATTCTAAGGACGAACATTTCGGTAGTCCCTCACTACTTTGTGGTTCGACTTTCACCGACTCACCCTTTCACGGTTTTTCAACATAAGATTGGACGTGACACACAAATGGCTGATTGATGGATGAGCCGCACGATCGGCATGACATTTTTTTATTTAAAATAATATATTTTAAATCATTTAGCACCTGCTGCTCCTGTGTGCAGCCCACAGCTGCAGGAGAAGCTCCCTCCTGCAGAATGTCAGACCTCCACTCTGCAGCGGAGAAGTGGGCGTGGCCGAGAGCACTGGCAGAGAGCAGATCATGACGTGCTGTGCTCTTTTAGAGCGTTTAGACACATTGTTTAGAATATTGCAAGAGTGTGGGAAGGGTTTAAAACACTTAACATGTTTAAAACTTTTAAAACCTTTTTCAAAGAGTTTAAAAAGGTTATATGTATTTCTACTTACTACTTGTACTACTATTCCTACTTGGCGGTTTTTCACTTATCGCGGGGGGACTGGGAGTGAAAAACCCTGTGATAAACGAGGGACTACTGTTTATGTTTCACTATTTGTAGACACAGTTTCCCAAACTGTTTAACCTCTGTCCATCTTTACTTATGAAAGATTCAGACTCTCTAAAATGCTCCCTATGTACCTAGTACTCTTACTAACCTATTAGTTGCAAAATGCTCCTCCAGCGGTTTCCTATTTTCAACCTATTGTTGCCCATATCCCAACATTTTATAGGCGCTGTTGCTACCATCCAAATCAAAGTTTGGTCCCTAGAATCATTTGGTCCTTGCTTTGTGCAGGATATTTATGGTCCACTGCCAAATGGCAGGTCGTAATGTTTTGGTATGTCTGTGCTAGTGTTTGTTTGACTGTTCTCATATGTCAAGAAGCACTACACAACTTTTAATGAAAGTTTCAGAAAGTAATCATTTCATGTGCGTCTAATACGGGTTACAGAGAAGCAAACAGCCACACACGAGCAAAAACATTATCACCGGCCTTTAGCCTTTCAGAGCAGGGCTGTAAAAAGAGAGAGACAGAAAAACGGATGCAGTGACTATGGACACGCGAGATTCTTAAAGAAAATATTTAAAGAAAGGGATAAATGTCTTTAAATGAAAGTTCAACACAACAGCTGTGTAAAAGTGCCATTTCTTTGTCTGCACACACGACAGAAAGTCGAGCGCTGGAAAATGAAGGAATGTGTACAGATTTGAAAACGACATATTTCAAACGTCTGAAAACTCAAACGTTCAAACAATGAACAGTTTTCATGTGTTCAGGACTCTTTAGGTTCATGGTAATGTTTGCAGATAAGTATCAGCTGTTGATGTCTTATGTCAGTGAGTCTTAGAGGTATAGAAACAAATATCTGTCCGTTTTTTCCAAGTATTGTTCATGTTCCTGTGTGTGTGAGTCTGTAGTACATCCCAAGTGTGTACTCTGAGTGTGTATGTCCAGATGGTGTATCACACGTTGGGAATGTTGTTTATAGATGACGAGAGAGCGATGAACGCCAGACTCAAAGGCATGAACGCTCTTAGCGGGCAGCACCGACACAACTGCTCTGAACAGAGAACAGTAAATGAACTGTACTTATATAGCACCTTTCTATCTTATTTCAAGATACTCAAAGCGCTTCACACGACAGTCTGTGCCTCATTTACCCATTCATACAGCTCTATACTAGATCTCTACAAAGCTAATGGAACAAATCATTCTAAAGAGACTAATCAGAGCTTTATCACATTCATACACTGATGGGACACACATCAGAGGTTATGAGGGGTTCAGTGTCTTGCCCATGGACACTTCAACATGTGACTGCTGGTGGATTCGAACCCCCAACTCTTGCATTGGAGGACGACTGCTCTAACCACTCAGCCACAGCCGCCCCATGCCCCAGTACAGCTGATACTCCACGAGAAGTAAAAAAAACTACTCAACATTCTTTTGAACATTTCATACTCGATGAGAAACTGCAGCACAAAACTCCTAGAATGCTCCTCCCTCCTCCCAACGGCGCCAGAACTGACGTCTTCCCAATGTGGTCTTCACTCTTCTGTCTGTAAAGACTTTTGCTTCCATTACCGCTACTAGACACTTTTATTATACAGACTGAGACAGTAAACATTGTTTGGCATTTGATAGTTTTATAACAAAGAGACTGCTGCTGTCTCCGATAGACGGTGAAGGAGAATTCAAAAAGCGTTCAAT